CTACAGAAATGCACCAAACGCTAAACAAACGCTAACAGATGGCCAAGGCACTAACAAACGCCTACAAAAACGCTACTGACCAGACTCGCTCCTGGTTATAAACTATGTAAAATTTCATTGAACTATATCAAACGCTACAAAACGCACCAAACGCTCACAGACGGCCAAGACACTAACAACTGCCTATAAAAACGCTACTGACCAGACTAGCTCCTAGTCGTTAACTATGTTAAATTTCATGTAACTATATGCTATGCACTACCTCCCTTAATAAATGTCACTCTGTTTTCAAATTTTATTTTTAAGTGTACATGTAGTTAGGTACATCATCCACACTCCTGCAACAGCTATTCTTGGTTGTAGTCAATGTGTCTTTAAAAATGCCACTAGTCAGTGTCAAAAGGTTTTTAAATAACAATAACTGTCTAATTTCTCGCATGCTGATTGGCTCATTTTTATCATCAATAAGAGTGCAGACGGATAAAATGTTAATTTATACAAGCTTTGAACAGTTCCATTTTCAGCTGTCGAATAAACTAGGAGTAGTCCCTCTTTCGCTTGGTCCATCGTGTGTGACGTGAAAGAAAACTGCGAGGAAAAAATAGCCGTGCAAAATCCTGGGAGCAAGGAGCGTGCTCCTTGCCCCCAGGATTTCACACGGCCATTTTTTTCTCACAGTTTTCTTTCGTGTCAGACACGACGGACTAAGTGAAAAAGGGACTGCTCGTAGTCCAGCTGTTGAACTGTCAACTTTTTAATTTAACCAATGGGATTTTCTTGACTTTTTAAGTAACCAATCAAAAAGTCAGAAAAGCTATTGACACTGTTTGCCTCATTTTGAATAAAATTCACTTATCTTTGTTTACAGTACGTTCATGGCATCTTTTCCATCATTTATTGCTGGCATTTGACCATTTTGGGGTCTTGTTATTGTAAAAAACAAATCGACATCAGTTTTTTATGCATCTGTCCTCTTATTGATGATAAATTTTGCCATAACTTTGTCAAAGTTCACTGCAGAACCACTTGCCTGTGGCTTGTGGTTCCACAGCCACTTTGATAACGTTATGACGCATTATTTATCATCAATAAGAGGACAGACTCATAAAAAACTAACAGCAATTTGTTAAGTTTGCTCAATCCTGTTGTTTGCCATAACCAGCTTGCATTGTGATACTTACCTTCTTAAACTCTTCATATGCAGCAAACTGCACTGCTGTGTACGGGATGATTCTAACAATGTTGGTTCCATTCCCCTTAAGTAAAACACAGATGTCACCAGTATTTAATCAACCCACCAAGCTTTCCAGATTAATCAGACCCAAATGTAATTTCAATCAGATCATGGTTAAAATTAGTGGGTAGTACCAGCTGACAATTGAATGAAATTGACACCAATTCTACACATGCAGAAATGTCTTCTAAGAATCCTTAACTTTTTTTCTTTAGGATAATTGGAAGGTCTTTAAAGATCTTGGAAGATCCTCAAAAATCCTGATGGCTGATGGGTATTTCATAATAGTTTCATAAGAGTTATTGTACTGTCCAATGAATTGCAGCTGCAATCTGACAGTATGATGGGGGTAAACATTGCTTGACTCTCCCGTCTCTGCACCCCCCTCCCAGCCCAGGGAAAATAACAGTATTTCTCCTGGCTCAATTATGATTTTACCAAACGTAAAATCATAATTGAGTGAAAGTTGAATAGATTTCTGCTGTGGTGTGTATCAGTCTGCAACTTTTCAGGCCGAAAGACATCTCTTGAGTAGAGGGTGGGTACGTATATCAGGTGCCAAAGCTCTGTACACAGCTGTCCCAGACATACATGCAGAAGAATAAGCGATAATTAATTTGATAATTAGTACCTCAATACGAAAGGCAAAAACATTACCTTGAAATAGCCATACAATCCTTCTTCTTTTCCAATTTTCATCAGAGTCTGTGTTACACTGGTGTATCTTGCCTCGGAAACTTGAATCTGGAAAGAAAAAGACGGTTCATTAGCGCCTGTTCTCTCCTCCTGTAAATGAAATGTAAACAAAACCTAGCGCTAGCATAAAATAAAATAAAATGACACATTCACAACACAACATGCAGCATTACCTGTAACAGCATTTTCACTCGTTCCAACGGAGAAACACATGTTCTTGAGACTCCTCCAGCAACTCCTCCGGCAACAAGATGGATCAATTGGTCCTTGGGAATATATTTTTCCCACCATATCGTATCACGGGAGGTCGTAGTGCTCATACTAAATTTTGGAACGCAAAATCCAGAATTAGCGAGTCAGTGCTAACTGTTACATTGCTGACAGTGTCGCATTATAATGCCATAGCTGGTAAAACGAAAATGTGAGCCTAAGAAACAACGTTCAACAGTAAAAATAAGACAAGCCGAAGTCAACGGAAGTTTTAGACAGGCGTCTGCTCTCATAATTTCGCCCTTTCTAAACAGGTAGTTGATTGGACCATTTTCACTTCCGGAATATTTTTGCCCTTAGAATTAACCGGAAGTGCAGGAAAACGTGCCCTTTGGCTCGTTTCTGCAACTGGTGAACGTAAAGCAATCCAAACAGGACACATGCATCCAGCTTTATTATTCTTTGTAGTCAAATTTCCTACTCTTTTAAACAAATCATGGATCCGTGTTTACATACAAACTTCAAAACCGCTACAAAGCATCTCTCCACTTTACCCGCGATATCCATATATGCCACTCCAAAAGATCAGAACGGTTTAACCTATAAACAACGACAACCATATTTTCTTGTGTAGGTAAAAATTTGACCTTGCGTGATTATTCATCACCCTTGGTAGATACTGTATGCAAATAGGCAGATACACCTTTAGCCTGTTCTCAGCCACCCTCCCCGAGGCTATCATAACTGTTTCTTTATTTAAGCCGTTCGAGTGATTCGATCACTATGGCCTGAATGTGCGAGTTAATTTTTAACTATTTAAAATAAATTTTTGCTATAAACCTAATGTCTGGGCATTACGTGACACTCGACGCTCTGTGAGTTGCTCTGCTTAGGTGAGCCAAAAGGTTTATTAAAACGAGAAAAAGTTGTCCCGCCTGCTAGGTTTAGGCGGATCTACCCCGGTGACGGGTTCGCGATTCTTATGTAAAACGGTTGGTTGAATTTTTCAATGAGATAATCGAAGCGTTTGTTCGGCCAGGGTTACTCTGGTGGATGGTTGTCTCGGGTACCCATATAAACGTAACCAAGCTGCGATCAGGCGTTCTTTTTTAACAGCAGGGGGAAGGAGAATAAAAGAACGCCAGATCGCAGGTTAATATAAACGGGC